TGCACATTTCTGTGAGTAGAGAGCACAGTAACATCCCACGCAGTTCTGTATAATTATTGACACATTTCAGTATCGCTTAGCGGTGAAACACAGTGGTAAAGACTCGCAGACTTGCATTTTAACTTGCTTTTGTTTAGGTATGAGCTCAGCAGCACAGCACTGGCAATGCCTGACACTTTCAGTCTGCCTTGCTCCCAGGGTAAGATCTCTGCTGAAGTCGGGTCATTCGGTTTATGCATCTAGAGATTGATTTAAACCCATCTGTGTTTGTAAAAAAAGAAAAGCAGAAGGAAAACAGTGGAATGTACCCCAAAAGTGGGTTTACTTCAGTGCACTTTAGGATCAAGGACATACGATTTTCTTGTGTGTATCCTAAAAGACCATTATGGGAGGCATCTGGAGAGCTGTGCTCTGAGCTGGTGTCCCTTCTAGCTGGTGTCCCTTCTAGCTGGTGTCCCTTCTAGCTGGTGGGCTCTGGTGTCGGGGGTCCCTTGGGACACTCAGGTTCTGTTACAGACCCGCTGGCACAGCTTGTGCCTGAGCAGCCACCGCCCGACACACATATGCTGCCTGGCTGTGGTGATTTAACTTCTTGTACTGGTTGCAGCACTGGGGAAGGACTGCATTGGGCACCTTGCCTTGGAGAAGCAAACTTTGCCTTCCTTACCAGGTGAAACCAGGCGATTCCTTTTCCCATTGCATGTGGCGTTGCAGGGGGAGCACCCCACCAGCAGGGTGCTGTGTGCCTGCAGGTGCCAGCCATCCCAATGCCACTTTCTTTCCCAGTTACCAGGCTGCTGGAGGAGACTAGGACGTAGTTGGGAGCCCTCTGGCTGCAGACCAGCCTGGGCAGAGCAGAGGAGGTGAATGTCACGAGCTGGCCGTCAGACAAAAGGCAGGGATGGAGGCAGCTGCCATTGTCCCCGTCCGAGCACACTTGTATGAACAAAGCATCAGCAGAAGTATGATAGGAAATATCCACGGCTGCTGAATCCAGGGGGATTTGGCCCTTTAACAAAACTATTATTGAGTTTTTATTCTGCTCTCTGCTCATGAGGCCCCTCCGTGGCTAATTATACTAATCAGAGGTGATTATTCCCCATGCCCACTTAACCCGTATTTAAATACAGCAGCCTGAATTTGTCGTCAGCCTCCAGAAGATACAAACCCAGGATCAAAGCAAATGAATGCACAGGTACATTATCCTATGGGATCAAGCTAAAATGCAGCTGAAAGAGCTTTAGAGTCAGTGGATGCTCACAGGAGGATAAAGGGAGAAGGAAGTAGCCCTTCGTGCTTCTGCAAGGGTTTTTTCCCCCCCACTTCTCTGAGTTAAGCAGAATAACAAGCCACAGGAATTCTTATCAGAGAATATTTTACTCCAGTTAAGAAAGAACATTTTTTTCCTTTATAAAAATAATATTCTTTGCTTGAAGTACGATCAGCCACATTAAAAGTATTCTTTTTCCTGGCCAGATCTCTGCCTTCGGCACCTCTCAGCTTTCCAAATAAATACCAACGTGTTCCACATGCCTGCAGGTGGGCCCACTGATCGCTTTCTGGCCATGCTGCTATTCTAGCACAAGAAAATACACCCCAAACCAGGTATCTCTCTTGCCTTTACCAGAACCATCTGCAATTATTTTCTACAAAATAAGGAGCTGGATGATGGAAATTAAAACGGTTGGTCCTGAAAAGCTTTGTTGGAATTCTGTACCTAAATGGTGATTAACTCATTTGTATCCCTAATCCTTTTAAGCAGTTGCATAAAGATTCGAAGCGGCACTCAAGGATGCTCTGTGGCACAGCAAGGAGCTCCTTCCTTCCAGCTCACAGGGATGCAGGGTTTCACACCAAAGGGGGAAATCCTGTTCACACTGGAGTAAATGTGGTTTTGTCTCTGCCTTCAATGGAGTTTCCGTTCCCTTTTCTGAACCTAAATGAGAATGGGATTTTACCCCTCTTCTCACGTGATTGTGGTGCAAACCTGAGCTTTATTTTTAAGTCTTTTTAAAGGTGAAAAGATGAAGTCAAAACTATATAAGCCTGGAGAACAGATGCATCTCCAGCGGGAGGAGCAGTCCCACAGCTGCAGGGTGTTGCCTGAAGCAGCGAGGTGAGCTCTGAGCAAACAGACCCCAAAAAGCAGCAGCAACATCCATGACTTCTACGGGGCACGGCAGAAGTCACCCCAAAGCCTGACCCTGGTTGTCATACAGGTGGCACCGCTGCTCCCTGCTGCACTGGGCAGTCCTTGGGCACAGGGAAGGTTGTAATGCCACTGAAGGGAATGTGCACAGCGGTTTCCAGGAGGTTTTAGTGAAACTTCAGATTTCACAAACATGCTCAGGCTGTTAGATAAGGAACTATGGGGACAAAATTTCACATTGACAAACCCTTGGGCAGAATATTTTTCATGTTAGAAGGAAATGCGACTAAAACATTCCAGAAACTTCAGCTAAATTCTTTAATTTCAATAATTATTCATCTCCCAACTTTGATTTCGTTAAATAACCAATGCCATCGTTCAGAGCCAAGAACTTAATCTGCAGGAAATTCTGTCTTCAGAGAAGATCAAAGTAACTTCAGTGGTGTTAAGCACACACCTACAGCACTTGATCCTGAGAAAAATTAAGTGCGTGTTTAAATCAGCCTGTCCCTTCTCACTGGTTCTGTGCATTAATCTAAGCCTCTGCCTAAACATTTTCAGCACCGGGATCAAGGACCCACAGAAATCTCCATGCTTGGAAAGCAGAGATCTGAAAACGTAACATGCAAAGACACCAAAACACCGCCAGGCTGCGAGGGAAGTGCCTGCTCATTCCTCTATGCCTACCTTTGCCATAATAAAAGATTGAAAGTCTCCTTGGCGATATAAACGTGGAAGATAAGTGCGTACAATAGAATGCAAAGGTGAAATAGCCCTGTTTATCAGGCACAATTAAAATGAATAGAGGATGACTAATAAAGAGGCAGTTTAAAATCTTTACACGACATGGTATCAAGGTAACAGCATTGTGCAATAGTGCCAGAACAATTCACTCCCCGTTCTGCTGGCTTCGCCTCGGACGCCTGAACCACGTCCCGGAGAAAGCTGCATGGCACCAGCCCCTGCGGATCAAGGCAAGGGTGTTTGTTCCACTTTGTTGTCTAAATCCTTCTCTTTCCTTTCAGTTTGGGTTATCCCAAGCCTCACACTTACTGATAGTGCAGGAGAGCACCGTGTTGAATTTCCAGGCACGCTCCAAAGTGAGATGGGGCTTGGGTGCTGGTTCTGCACTTGGCACTGTGTAACGCAAATGTTTCCTGGCTATGGTGTGTAATTTAAAGGCTAATTTGGACAACCCTTTGCTCCAGATGAAAGGCCAGGCATGGGAGTGGGAGCTTGCATACTGCAGCCCAAGCTAACTCTCTTTTTCTATAATTTATCCTAGGAGATTTAATTGTGTTCCTCCTTCATGTTCCCTGCTGGACTGTAGGGTTCTCCAGTGTGCTGGGACAGCCTGTAAATATATAGATATAAATACATGTATTCTTTGCTGGTTTTGTTTTCTGGCCAAAACCAGACTTCTTTTTGTTTTATAGCTGCTGACATGGCTTTGCAACACAGCATTGTTAAAAAATAACATAAACAACTCTGAGGATATGGCAGCTATCACAGAGAACAGCTAACGCTGCCCAACGCCGCAGCTTGCTGAGCAATGCAGGGGTTTTGTCTTGTCCAAAGGGCTGCTTTGCCCTTCTTGCTTAACTTTTGGAAAGATCTTGGTGTGGTTTTCATCTAAAAGAGATAATTAAAGTCATCCACATGAAAACTCATTCAGCAGTGCTACAGGAAGAGCAGTCCCTGCATTTGCTGCCAGCTGCACCTCTACCTGCCAGGAGAGTTGGTTGAAACACTTGGAGTAGAACATGAGTTCTGGTCAGACAGTCCTGTTACTCTGATTAATGTGTGCCGGGATATTCCAGAGGGTTTTGCTGCATCATACGAGTGTTGATGCTGTTTGCTGCACCTGCCACACTCGCAGGACGGGGGTGACCAGGCTATGACTCCGGGCTGCAGGGATGGCATCCCTGAAGTGTCCCAGGCACAGAGGTGACAGCAGCACCAGCACGACACGGGGCCATCGCTGTGAGCCCGGCCCCTCTGCGGGTCCTCAGCTTTAGGAGTGCAGAGTGAGATCCCCAAATGCCCCACATGCAGGCAGTGGCATCCTCCAAGCGGCTGTCACCCAGATCAGCAGGCTGCCCTGCAGAGACATATCCTAACTCAAGCGAAAAGGAGAGAAACTCCACGTTTGCCAGCTACTTGTGCCTTGCCTGGAAGAGGGCAGGAAGGATTTTTCCTAAATGGACCAGGAAAGTGCTGCCCCATTCTGTGTGACCAGGGTGTGTGCCTCAAAAACCTACTTTTAGGGGCAAAATGAGATTTGTCACTTGAGGCACAGCCACACTGCCTCGGCTCCAGTAGGAGGGCAGAAATATTACCTGGGTGCCGAGGCGCCCGCTGTCCTGTCCTCATCAATAGCAGCTGATGCTCCTCAGGGGTATTGCTGTAACAATGTCACTTCTCTTTCCTTGGTGGCACCGGGTTTATTCTTTGCCCTGTCCCCTTTGGGTTCTGCTTCTGCCCCTGGGGTCTGGTGCGGGGCCATGCAGGCGGGTGAGGAATGGGAATCCTGGCTGAGCAAAGAAAGCTGGCAGAGGGCCACGGGCAAAGATATTGGGGTCTGTGGGTGCTACATAGACTGGACAGGGGGCATTTGAGAGGGGCTAAAGGGGCTGGAACAGCCCCTAACCTGTTGGTAAGAGGGTCTGCTGCTTTGAAAGGGGGCTTGCACTGTACGGGTGCGTGCCGGGACTTCGCTCAGGGGTCCCGGCAGTGCCCCCAGCCTTGATGCCAAGAGCCTTTGGTGTCCGGTGCTTGCAGAAATAAGAGAAACAGAAACGGCTCCGCTCTCCCCTCGGCGGGCTGCGGGCTCGGGGCGCTGCGGGAGCGGGGCGGGGGGCGCAGGGAAGGAGCCGGGCGAGGAAGGAAGCAACAAACGCTGAGCCCGTGACTCACGGTGCGGAATGACTAATGCCGGCAGGGAACAGCGCGTTTCGGGCACGGGAGCGGGGCGGAGAGCCCGCTGCGCATCGCCGAGGGGGTCGGGGAGCCCAAGGGGACTCGGGGGGCGGCGGCACCCCCTGCTCCGGCTGCGCGCCCCCCGCACCCTCTGCGCGCGGCCAGGGCCGGTCCGGAGCCCCCCGGAGCCCCCCGAAATCCCCGGGGACCGCTTGCGCGCATCCTGCGCGCCCCCCGCCGCCGCCTCCCCCGGTTCCCCCCGCGGGTGGCGGCTGCCCGTGGCCGCCGGTGGCACCGCGGCGGGAGGAGGAGCGCGCCTGTGCAGCGCCGGGAGGACGGGCCCAGCCTGCGCCGCGTTACACAACCGCCCGCCGCCACCGGGCACTTTCACAAGTCCCGCCGCGCAGCGCCGGCAGCCCTCCCGCAGCCGCTTTTGCGCCCCGCTCCGCCCGCCCTGCCCCTGCCCCGCTCGTGTCCCACCTTCCCCGGGCCATGTCCCCCGTGGGAAGAGGCAGCCCGGGGCTGGAGGAGACCCCCGGTGCCGGGGGGGCAGCGCGCAGAGGTCGGGCATGGCACTGAGAGCGGCTCCGGGACGCGCATCCTGCCAGACGGTACGTGCGGGGCGCCGGGGGGAAGGGAAGGGGGGTCGTGCCCTCAGTGGGGTGGGGGACCCGCCGCCTGACACGGCCCGGGAGGTCCCGGTGAAGTTTTGGGGACGGGAGGGTCGCCAGGGGGGCTGCCGGCCGGGAAGGTGTTTGGGCAGGGGGCTGCTTTCTGAAAATACGGCGGAGGAAAAAGCTCCGAAGCCTTGCGCCCGAGCGCAGGATGGAAAAGGCAGGGTGCGAAGTTAGCCCTCCCCCCGGGGCTGGGGCGGCGGGCGGCTTTAGGGACCGGTTGCATGGCGAGCGGGGAATTGAGGGGGGTCCCAAAGCCCCTCTCCGAAAGCTGAGCACGCCTCGAAGCCGAGCCCGGTGGTTCCCGGCTCCCGAGCCCCAGGTTGTGCTGCTGTGCACCGCCGGTGCTGCCCGACCGACGGAGATGGGGACGGGTGGCTGGAGTCGCCTCGTTTTTGGGGCAGAAGGACGGCTCGTCCCTGTCCTTGCGCTGCTGGCTTGCTGCTCCCCAGTCCCCACCAGTGGGACTGGGAACTGGGGGCGGCGGCTCTGCGTGGTGCGGGCGGTCTTCGGCGCTCCTGCGAGTGGCGGTGGGAGCAGCGGGTGGCTTCGGGAGGATGCGGTGTGACCCCCCCTCGTCCTGAACGTAGCACCACGGCGTGTACTGCTCGGTCTGGGAATTTGTTTAATTTCTGTAAACTTCCTAGGCTGCGCTGCCTTGCTGTAATTAGCCAGTGAAAAAGAAAAAAATGCATTTAGGTTTTTGATTTGCTAGAAAATGTATTCAAAAAAAAAAAAAAAAAAGAAGAGAGAGACTTTTCCTGTAACATGCTAAATCAGAGCAAATCAGCGTGCTGGTGATGGCAAATCAGCAGAGGAGCAGGGCACCCCGTGCACTGACAGCCGTAGCAGCAGCGCTCGGGGCTCCGTGGCTGCCCAACTTCTGACACACGCGAGGAGAGCAGGGGCGGTGGTGAGGCCAGAAATGGGAGCTGGTGTGGACGGGAGGCATTGGTGTCTGTGGGGCTACCCGCGTTCGCTGCTGAGCCCTCACGATTTTTCTGGACGATGTAAGAGGAAAAATGTAAATTGCCATAGGAGTGGTTACTCGCTGCTCATTTATTCTGTTCAATCAGAGAAATTAGTTGATCTAGAAGAAAAAGTAAAATTGGTTTGATTTTTTTTTTTTTATAAACTGCAAACTTCAGTGAAATTTGGCAGCAAGACCTGCGATGGTTCCTGTTTTTTAGCCACTCGGTTTATGTCTGTATTGAATTATTTTGCTGGTTTAAGGCACACATCAAGTACTCAAAAATAGCTCAGGGTTCAAAATTAAAATTAGCGAGTGAGCAGTTCATAATTAAAGTCTCATGGCGTTGGAAGCGACACTGGATTTCAGAGATGCTGATGTCAAACGCGACTTCTGCTCATTAGTAGTATCAGAAAATTGGTACAATGTCTTTACAGTTTGGATCTGGGGCTTGTCTATACACAGAAGTGGCATTGTTTTGTCCTAAATTACGCAACTACCCAAGATTCACGTGTGGTGATACAAAGGTTTTAATGCCAACATGGCTCATTCCTTTGAGACTGGGGGAGCAAGCTGTGTTCCTGTACCAGGACACCTGATCCGGGCTCGTACCGGGATAGCGAGGGGTTCTGATGGAATAGTATGTCTTTAACCAAAGTGGTAAAGCATCTGAAAACCTAAACAGTGTGGACCAGTCTTGGTTGGTGTTATTAAAATGCTGTGCTTGGGTGTCCTGTACACACCTCCTTTTCCCTCGTTTCTCTGCTACTTGTGGTTGTGTGCAAGGACTCTGGCACCGAGCCCTCCTGCCCCGTGGTGGCGTGCCTGCAGCACCCTTTGGGGCCTGGTTTGTCGCTCATGTCCCACCCAAGCCCGGGTTGTAGGCGAGCTCAAGACGGTGGCGATGTCCTGCCAAGCGCCCCGTGCCCCGCTGGGCCTGCCGGCCATGCCTCCGCTCACCATAGACCCACCAGATTCGGTCAATGCACATGGGGTGCATACAATTAATGAGAGAAGTTGACCTACTTGATTTTCCATTATTGGCTTTGGCCTTGTCTACACAGAGAGATTACACCAGTTTAGTTTAAGTCCATTTTTAAAGTGATTTGATTAACCTGGTGTGACCTCGCGCACAGACGTTCTTATTTGGGTTCATGTGGACTTATTTTGGTTGAACCTGCCCTGAGTCAATTTACACAGAACTGAAATTAGCTGTGCCTAAACTGAAAGGAGAACTTGCATCTCTGTGTTATGACAACTTTTGCATGAAAGGAGGACCTTCTATAGAACCTGGCACACAGTGAAATTCATAGAACCATAGAATCGTTAAGGTTGGAAAAGCGTCCTCTGAGATCATCTGGTCCAACCATCCCCCCACCACCAATATCACCCAATAACCTATGACCCTAAGCACCAAAAAATTGCCAACAAATCTGTAGGAGACTGGAAGCTATTCATAGCAAAGTTGTTAAAAATAAATAAAAAAGAGCAAAACCTAACTATCTTACCAAGACAAAAGAAGGAGTCCCAGTGATCCTGGTTGTGGGATGCCAAAAGCAGTGGCACCAGGCTGCTGCAACCATACGCCAGGCTTGCATGGCAAGGCTTGCAGCAAGGCTCTCCCGTGGCTCATCAGCTGCAGAGGAGGGGAAGTGTTTGTATCCTGTACACGGAGTCCCTACGCAGTCAAAAAACAAAAAACGTGATGCAGGGAACTATAGGCGTGCTGGTTTGAATGCAATAGTACACGGTGTCTCATGACGTATTTTGTAGGAAAGAATAATTAGACATGGAAATAATGAGGAAGAAGGATAAATTGCAACAAGATTTTATCAAAAAAATGGATTGTGCTAGACTAATCTAACATCTTTTTTATATAACAGATTTCTTAGGTGGGGTAGTGCAGGAATGTGATTTATGTGAAGCCAAGCATTTGATACCATGCCCCACAGGACAGTGTTGCTTAAAAGGAAGATGGTGGTTCAATACGAGAGCTGAGAGGTGGAGAAGGAGCTGGCTAAGCAAAAGGTACAAGAGTTGCATCCAAATAAAGTTGTCTGATGGGACACTGGTCTTCAAAGAGGGCCTTTGGGTTGGAAGCGAACGGATCTGCTGCTCCCAAGGACCATCAGGATGGGGCCGCGGTGAGCTGGGGGAGTGCTGGGTGTGTGCCCGGCGGGACACGGGGCTGGGAGGTGGCCTTGGAGGGAGGAGGACTGGATTATCATATGAAAGGAATTTAGATGACTTTGTTGATTGGAGTGATAGAAATAAAATGACATTTAATAGTGCTGGGTGCAAAGTCATGCAGAGTTTTGTGCGTTGAGACCAACAACAAGAATTTCAAGTGTGAAACGGGCTCGTCACTGGCGGAGACAGAGGGCAGAGATGTGGAGGCACTGGGTGGCCCTGGGTACCTGTGGGCAAGTGGTGGGATTTTATCGTTGGTTTTATCATTGTACAAGAGCTTTCTGTTGCTTGTGGTGTAGTCTGTGGGGATACCGCATGGCTCTGGACACCCCCATCAAGAAAATGTTAGATTAGAATGGCAGGAGGGTGAGAGATATGATCACACAAATGGACTCTCTATGGAATGACGTGTGATTAAACACCTTAATTTGTTTAGCTCCGGCCAATTGAACAAATGAAGGCACAGGTTACAATAGGTCTTTTTACGCACAGCTGGGACTAAATGGCAAGAAGGAGGAAAAACTGTGTAAGTCAAAAGATAGCATCCACACGAGATTAAATTGTGTAAGTTGGTCATGAATAAATTTGAATGGGAAATTAGAAGAAAGCTTCCAACTACCTAAGGATTGAGGTTGTGTAATAGTCTTTCAATTAGGGTAGTTTTGAGATAGATCTTGATAATCTTATGAAAGAGATTATACAGTTAAATTAGAGAGTTCCTGGAGATAGGAAATTAAGTTTGCAGAATTAGCCCTTTGGTCTCCAGTATATCTGTATTTTTAATGCGAGGTTGAAAGGAGATTGGACTGGGTTTTGTTTGCACTGTTACATTAACCCCATGCATCAAGGCTTCTGCTGTTTTTTGGGAGCCATGGCAAGAGAGAGTTGTCCCCATTGCTGCAGAATCAGCCTTTTTTTTTTTTTCCCCATGTTCGCCTTCCTCCCAAGCAGTACATGTTGGCCGCAGGTCAAGGTGTAAGGAAATCCTGCGGTGCGGAGGCTCCTTGTGGTGTTAGGCTGGCACGACTGCCTGCGGTGTTTTCTGGCGTGCTTCCTGGCTTAACCTGTTCATCAGATTTTGGGGCAGAGAGGAGTTTTTCCTTCAGGTCGCGCCGTGAGTATCCACAGTGTACTTCGTGATATATTTTCAGGGATCGGTTGCTAATGTTGTTTAATGAACTTTGTGTGGTTGCAAGGATGTGCGGGTCTGGGCAGTGATTTTCACCCACCCTGCTTTTCCGTGTCACGGTGCCGTTTCATCATGTGTGCTAATGATGCGAACTGTAAGTTTGGTGAAGGATGTGAGGACGTGTTCTGGGGCTCCTGATGGTTGAAGAGACGTGAAGTCAGCACTAGAAGCGTTATTTCCTGAGGTTGGAGAGCTGTTGTTCCTGTCCCCACTGTTCCCTTTCTACCTGATATTCCTAAAATATGTTGCAAAGCTGGACTTAAAATCAGCCCTGCTCTGGTACTGATCAGAGAAAAATCCTGTAATTTGTGCAGAAAAACCTCTAGAATAGATATGAGATTGCTGGCCTTTAGTCATGAGTTGGTAATTTTAGCAAGACAGTTTTGTTATAAGAAAGTTGATGCATAATGTGCATCCTATTCCTTTTTCTTATTACAGGAAAGAGAGGGGGGAAAGGGGGGAAAAAGACAGAAAGCAAGCAGGGAAGCAAGAAGGAAAACAGCTTGACTTAGCCTGAAGCAGAGATCGCATACCTGATAAACTGCTTCTTAAGAGAAATTGAAATATGGCAAAACGACAGTGCAGACG